GATGCACAGGCAGCAACTCTGAGCATATTCAAACATTATATTAGCTTAGTATTCTTACTAAAACACTCATTGTAGTTTTTCCAAAGAAAATACTGATGTTTTTTTTTCTTGAATTGCAGGTAATGCGACTTTCTAACCTAATTTCAGAAATCGTCTTCTCGCTTTAGACATATTTTTAAAAATATTCATATCGCAATTTGAACACAGGCTTTGATAAAAATTAATTGCAACGAGTTTATTTTCTAAATTCCATCAGGTTAATTAAATATAATATCATATCGTATGACATTCCGCTTAAACAATTGCATCTGTGATGTTTCGCTCCCCCTGTCAAGACGTGCTCTTGCTCGATCGTAACAGACGCGAAAAACTGATTAAGGCACACCTTACCATCTGGCCAACAGTAAAGTAGGAGAGATGAGTTAGCCTTCCATAGGCACCTATGAGTTAGAGGGTGCATTGACTTTCATTTCACTAAACGAGCTTGCATAGGAGAAAAGTTTATTGTTATGAGAACTCTAACTTGCCACGGATTTAAACGTAGTTTGTCTTGCAACACCTGTCCTAATTTAAAATTTTTATCGAAAAACTAATCATTAGAATCATTTGGTTTTGTAAATAAAAATTAATATTGTCATTGAATAAATTTCAATGTTCAAGTTCAAGCCTCAAAGTTCGAATATCTTTGCGCTGCCTTGCTGATGCGTTGGACTTCGATGGAGTCTCGGCATCGTCGTCAAAAGCACCATTGTTTGAGTAGTGTTTGCGGAGGAGCCACCTAAACACGGCCACACAAACTGGCAAACACACTTTCGTCCTAAACCCACAATCACAAACACTACGACCAAGTCCATGTAGTGATGTAGTCCACAGGTCAGCGTGTGTTCCAGAGTCTCAATGAATATTAGAGACTGTAAACACCCGCGCTGCCTCCTTACTCGTGATGGATCACAATCCTCGTCACAAGTGGCTCCAGTTACCTCCTTCGATGATCCAATTGGATTTGACGAAGCACATGCTATGCGGAGGATCGAATTTTTCTCAACGTTAAGACTGTTGTTGTGAATGTACATGCACATAAATGGCGAGATCATGTCGTCCGTAACGTATTGATATGTTAATGTGATGCATGGGTATAATTTTCTGACATTTTCCATTAAATGTCTGGAATTTTTCAATGGATTGATAGAAAACAGGGCTTAGACTAGAATATTTTTAAACTGGGTCATATATCGATTGAATGGCGATATGGTAAATCGGGCTGCAATGTGTAGTTCTTAACTGCTGTCATGACACTACAAAAAATCTATTCCAGTGGCAGTTTGATGTGAACAAAATTCTTCATTATGGTCCCAGCATCAAAGTCTCGCTGTCTATTTATATGTTTTACGGTCCCCCATTGCTAAGAGCAGCCACTATTGTTCGGACACTGCTTGCCCGCTGAACAGAAATTCTCCGCAGTCGTGATGGTATCCTGCGTTCTTTGAATCAGAAGTGAAGGAGGCATAATGTACCGAGAGCTTGAAAATTCCCACACAGTTCCACTGTTATAACCTCAGATTCTCTCTTTTTTCTGCAGCTGCTGCCGAGCAGGCTTGTCAAAACGGCATCTACGCTCGGCAGGCTCGGACCGTCCGTACCATGGGTTGATTGAAGGGCAAATTTCGTCTTAAATCACCGCTCATGCGCAATTGCCGACTCTAATGAGTATGATCAGTGACAGACGTTATGGAGAGACACTTGTGCCTGCCATTACGCCTTTTATCGTGCCATCGCACAATTCCAAACGTTTAACATTGCCGAATTAGCTTGAAGCCTCGTGACTTGCTGGCTTCATGCTCGGTGATGTACGCTGCTATCGACCGCAATAAAAATACCGGCTCCGGAGAGCAAGATGCTTGGTTGATGCGATGAAAATGTACATTTGAGAACAATGCGATTACGTTTATGCATGACTGTGAAATTTCCTCTTTGTAGTTTTGTATTTAGCGAATGCTGAAGTATGAGCTTAGATATATGAAGCATTAAATTAAAAGGAAATTATCAAGTAATGTACTATAATTCGACCAAAAAAATTGTACTCGAACAACCCGTTTGAACTCACAGTTAGAAAACAGAATTACTCCATGAAACTGCATCTTCTGTTCGCTGGTGGTAGATGGTCTCAAGCTATAATAGTTCCTGCCCAACTATTAGCCTCATTCAGAGTCATACATCACCCCAAACAGCCTCTTATCCTAGCCGGGGAAGCACGAAGCTTAAAAGCACAATAAGGAAGCATTTAGGTCGAAATCTTTTTGATTACAGTTGTCTCTGCTCGAAACATTTGGAACCTCTGATCATTAAGATCTAGGCGCATTGAGATAACTACAGGTTGAAGGTTTCCACCCCGACATCGCAAGGACCACGAAGGCAATACGAAAAAACCTGCCGGCTATCCACTACGTCACTGACATCTTAGGACCACTTAATCCTATACAATTGTGATCGGGCAAAAAAGGGATACGGAGGCGAAGCTCACGATTGATATAATTGGCTGACACTTATCGGTGAAGTAACAATCGTATACACAGCCGTGGTCATTCTCTCGAGATCGCGTTCTCGACCGCTCTTTGAAAAGAAGTGCCCGCAGGCCTTTTAATTCTTCGAGTGGTACTCAATTCACCTTTGACTTGGTTAAATGACTGTGATCTCGGTACACAATATTTTGATAATTAGAGTTGCATGTTCAGTGTTTGGGCTGGTATGACATGCCTCTGGGGTACATAGATGTCACCAAGTCTAGGGAGTCAACCTGAAATCTGGCGAAGCAATTATTGACCATCAAGAAATGAGGATAGCCGTGTGATACAAAGCGAACGGAAAAGATAGTTCTTACATTAATTTACATTAATCAAATGCAGCTCCATGAAGGCTAATAAATAATACAGCGAATTTTTATGTGATAAGGTCAATGCAAATGCAAATCAGAACAGAAATTGAATTACTAATGCGTCATCCAAATTTTACACACAAATCGAACGTGAGCAAACTCGCGTGATATCGTGTGTTAGGTAAACCAGTTACGTGATGCTGAATGCGTTACATTTTATTAAATTCATGTCAAATAAATTCCAGGTCGTCTTTTTTGTGGAGATCGAAAATATTCAGATGTTGCTTATATCTTCAGTCGTGACTGCAACCTTCCTATCGGTAATCATTATACAAGGCAAAATGTACGCCAGTCTATATTAATTGTTTCTGGACAATGTTCCGTCCAGCTTCAATATTATGTCAGGATCAATGATCAGATTAAAATGCCCCATAAATGCCGATCGAAACCGGAACTCTCGAAGCATGAAACTCTACTAGGAATTCAGACTGATTCATAAGGCAAAAGAATGTAATACAACGAAAAAGATATGACAACGTTTTTTCAAATGTTGTAAATTGTATTACTTAAAGAGACATGTGTAGATGTTTCCGTTTTGCATTTTTATATTTTTTAACAAAGATTTTTCGTGGAGACCACATAAAGATAAAGGTGTCCCATAATTTGGTATTGCTAAAAAAATGCATTATTAGAAAGATTTCTGCTCATTACGGGCAGCTCAATCATATAAGATGGTTTATAGTGAATTTAATTGCATCTTCAATGTCTGCATAGTCAATATTTTTGAAAAATCTCGAGCAGTTTCTATGGAATATCCAGGGTAACAAAAATGGAAATTTTTCCACCAAAATTAAAAGCGTTTATATCCAAGAAACCCGTTGTATTTACGTCGGTACTTATTATACCTAGACCGACCTCTCTGTATGGCGCGCGGACATCACGATCTTCGGCACATGACACTGACCAGATGCAGGACTGAAGACACGATCGTGAGAGGCTAATCCCGCACAGCTACCTGTCTTGTGCCTTTATTGTACTCCCTTCAAAACCTGATCTTCGTAGGCGCCGTTACTAAGAATCTGGCTTGCGACATCTGACCATTAGATGCATGCTAGTCATATTCCTCTTTACCGAATCGTGATCGGAAGTCGTTTGACCGAACGTTGACCGGAAATCTTTATATGGGCATCGAGCAGCTTACTTGACCAGCACGGCATTACTAATATATTTCGAACACATAGACAAATACGAGAACGACTTTCCACAAAAAATTATTATATATAAAATTTTAGCGTTATTTTGACTTCTATGTTATTTGAATCATTTTAGAAACAAACTCTATTTCATTATTTTCCAGCATTAATTTAAGAATTTTGAACTGGAATGCAATAACAACTTAATTGTCGCTGGATGCCTTTTCCTATCTTCCCAAAGATACATATTAATGTCAATAAATAAATCATATTCTGGTAGCATAAAGAGATGATCGAATGCTTCAATGTGTATAGCTGATCAATATAGATCTATGTTTCAATGCGGCAATCAATTAATAATTATAGAATCGAATAAAAATATTAATGAAAATATATTAAAATTATAGAATAAAAATATTGATGTTTCAATGTATAGCTTGTGTGGCAATTAATTAACAATTGTAGATTCAAACATATAGAATCCAATAAACAGTATTATTAATAAACAGGTGGGCTTCAAGGAGGCAGGTTATTCAAACTCAATCATAGAACGATGAAATTTTTAATAGGACCCATAATAACAAAATATCGATTTTATTAATACGGTGAGACCAGGTAAGTTTATTCATGAATATAGTGCGAGGAAGTCTCGAAAATCGATGTCTAGACTCCAAATTATTATAACCCAGGACAGAGCCAAAAAGAAATAACTAAAATATAGCATCATACGAGTATACATTGATTCTACAATTTTGAACATAGATTTCTATTTCATCATTGCAGTGGCCAGCAGCTAGAAACATTTTTATACGAGTAAGTTTAATACAGAGAAATAGTTTGAATAAATAATGAAATTGATTGAATTCTAAGAATATAATCATACAGCAATAGTGTTAATTAAATGGTTTATAATATACAATCTTTGGTATCGCACTAAGTAAAATAACAGCTCAAGACAAGATGTCAGCAATTGAAAACCCACGCGTTGGCGGTCGAGAGGTGCGGGCGACTTGCAAGGGTGCAGGCGTCGGAGGAGGTAATACAATTTTAAATTTTCTTTCGCCAGTAAGTGAATTTTTGCCATCAACTTTTGTCTTGTTTTCTTCCTTTATTTGGGGCTTCTTATAAATATCATTTGGATGTGGAGAAGGTGATTTAGTTTTATCACACTCATCGTTCAAATTGTCGTTTCCGTCTTGCGCTTCTGTTTCTGATGATCCCGAAGAGCTTGTAGAAGAAACGCATGGAGGAGGAGATGGAATTTTCCGACTTTCTAATGTAGCATCTGCTGAACTTTTAGGTATTTCACTTGCATCAGAATGTTGAGATTGATGCATCATCATGATACGAGCTTGGCAAAAACCCTTACCACAAATAGAACACGTAAAAGGTTTGTTCTTCATATGAGTATACTTATGGTCCCGTAAATGATCTAGCCTCTTGAAGGCTTTACCGCATTCACTGCAAGGGAAAGGCCGTTCATCAGTGTGAGTACGAATGTGGATAACGAGATTGTAACTCTTGGAAAATTCTCGCCCACAAAAACGGCAGAAGTGTCGTTTCTTGTGGACTCTATTAGACTGACTGTCTTGACTGACTGGAAAAAGAGCTTGAGATTGAATCATGTGATTGATTTCCGATAGAAAACTTAGTGAGCCTCTGGCATACGGCGTGTTATGAAATCGCACACGTGAAGATTGAGATGACGAGGGTATCGGTCCAGGGAGACGAGGCTGAGTGCCGTCCACAGATGAGGTTCTGGATCGCAGGAACTCTATTGGGATCGGAGGCGGAAACAGGGGAACTCTGCCGAAGAACTGAAAACTTGGCACTGGCAAACTCATTTCTGCTGCAGAAAAATTATTCATCGAGTCCAGTGGTTGGTCAATTTAGGATAACTATTGATTGAAATAGTGAGCGTTTGTAGACAGTCAGATCAAATGATTACTTGCACTTCAGTAACTTCTCAATGTCATTCAATGCTAAAGGGATATTTTCAGGCAACGCTTTAGTGATTTATATATGCTTGATCGCATACATGTTTCATACTGAAGTGTAATTAGCCTCAGCTGGCGTGCTTGCTTTCAGGCCGGCGGAAGATTGTTAACTGATCATTAAGGAACTATACACTCGAGTTTTATAGTTAACATCTCGCCTATGTGTGTGGCCTTAAAACTGTCATCTGTTCAGGTTTGGATCAATGATTAACACGTGATTGGCAGACTTGAAACCAGAAGGCGTGGCTCACCTGCCGGTCTAAATACTTTCGAGCGAGAAAATTGTTCCCACGGCATAGCAGCAAGTTTTTCTATGACCACAGTTTGTCCTTTTAAAAGAAGTTTATGGTGACCGGAATAACCTCGGTCCTTTAAACTGAGTTATTTAACATCTCTATTTGGCTGCAGTCACTAAAACTCTTCACCGCGATACGAATACCTCGGCAAACCGCTATGGTGACAGTTTTCTTTTTACCCACACAGTCATTGTACTGAATCGCACACGGTGATCGGTCCTTTGCACTGGAGGAGTAAATTCAGTTGAAATTCCAAGCTACCAAAGAGCTCTCCCAAAATTGTGTCTTGAATAAAATTATGCAACTCTTACTTTTAAAATTCAGAAATTGAAAAAAACATGCATTAACATAATTATAAATTGACATAAATTAAAATATTTAATTACGTTACTATTTGAATTAATAGCTTGAAAAATTAATTTTTATATGAGATTGTTCAATAATTATAGTTTAACAATTAACCAATTGCGAAGTATCAGTGGTCAGGCTCGTTGCACTGACCATAACTGAATTAACTATTAGACTATAAATTTTGCTTTTTCTAGGTATTGCCGACGCAACTCGTTATTGTGAAGCTTACCTTCGTATTCTGTATTGAACTACGTATTCTTCAGTCACGTTGAAAAGATGATGGTGGAATATGTGTTGAATATGATCTTCAATATTACTACATCTCTATTTGTCGCGTTGAAAATGTGAAGCTGATGTTTATATTGAATATGGTCCTGAATTGTGCTACATCATCTTAAGTCATGTTGAAGAGTTGACACGGCATTTGTGATGAATTGTACTCCATCTTCTTAAGTTACGTTGAAAAGTTCAACTCATTGCTACGGTTGAAAGCTCAAGAAGGTTTTTCATTAACACGATTATGAACATTCAAGAGTAATCCGAAAAAATATTACATCCTCGTCGTGGAAGCCTAATCTCTGCTATGACTCATGCGGATGCTGTGAATAAGCTGTATATCCCTGACATATTGTATTAACATAACTTCACCTTTACAAGGCCATTGTTCAAATTTATAAAGGTTGTACTGAAGCATCTATTTTACTCGTTTGTTTGAGACCAATTTGTGAAAAAAATTATAATTTCCCATCTCAAATAACCAGTCAAAAAAAACATTGTTTTTTTCTAATCCTATATAGTGATTAACCCATACACTCTAAGTTTAATCAGAGAGCAAATTACATAATAAATAAATAAATTCCATTACGCTAGATGACTTCTTATTTAATTCAGTACTCACATTATAAATTCATAATAAATGTAGTATGTCAAACTGTATGAATGAAACTAGACATCATTTCTAAAGGTTCTCATAAATCAAAGATTTAGTTCTAACCAAACACTACTACTGGAGTGACAGAGCTGTTATTTACGGGCCAGATCAGAGATTATTTATGGATCTGAAAGCATATGAAGTACGAGCTGGAAAAACTACACTATGACATCGCGAGGAGACACGGGAAAGCTTGATGACAGATTAGGGAAATATCCAGTATGTCGGGAGTAAGTGTTTGAGAAATGGTAAAACAAATTAATAATTGAAAAACGAAGTACAATGTGAAGGGTTCGATTATGAAATTCCATCAATATTTAACAAACTTCATGCGATATAGTTTGCGCTGAATCTCTAAATTTTCTGCCGGCTATCCACTACATTTTTTTCTCTGATGTTTTTTAGAGAATGTGTCAAATAATCTATAAAATATCCTTCTGAGTCATCAAAAAATATACGATTTACTTGTGACTTTAATATTGGAAATTAGTAAGCAGAGGCGGCGTCTGCGCAGCGTCTGGGCAGAGGCACCGCGCAGACGTGACGGTGCCGGTCAGGTTCAACAGAGCAGAGCTGACGCGCCTCCTCTTACGCGGCCGTAATGAAGCAATGCTTTTACTGTTACGCGACAGCTTGTGCTAATATGTTATTTTCTGTGTGATATATTATGATATTTTCTAGGGAATATATTATGACATTTTCTGTGGAACATATTATGATATTTTCTAGGGAATATATTATGATTTTTTTGGGGGGAATATATCATGATATTTTCTGTGTAAAATATTATGATTTGTTGTGTAATATATTATGATATTTTTTGTGTATTATATTATGATATTTTCTGGAGAATATATTTATGTATATAATTTTTTATTCCTTTCTTGGAGCTTCTTCAGCGATCAGATCAATCATTAAATCGGGTTGAATGTAATATTTTTCTTCATCCCAGTATTCCTTTGTTCAAGTAACTAGACGAGTATTAATCGTTTCTACTTAATATATTTTTGCATGGAGATAATATTGATTATCACAAAAATATGTTTTTGATGACGAGAATAACCGTTACTCTAGTTGAAATGCATGGCTGTATGCGGCCAAAACATAGGCAAGGCTCAGCGCACAGGTTGTTTGATGCGGTCAGTTTTGACGGACTCGCACAAACTTTACACGCAGCCCTGTCCCTTGGGGTTGCCTTCTCTCGGTTACACTTCAGAAACGGGACTAAAATTGGGGCAATAATCTCAGGTTGCTCTACTTACAGGCTCTGTAGAGTATACCGTTCCCAGGGGGCAAAGTGCTCTGTTTGGACAGTTTTACTTACCGCGACGCTTCGATTTTTGGAAACGATACTTGCGTAACGCACGGATCTATTTTCGTTGCTGGGAGTGCAGAAGACAGTTTTTTGTTTTGTTTGTTTGGAACAGGTGCAATGCGGGGAGGCTCAGGCCTTTTCTTTTAACCCCTATGGATCATCGTATATAGAGGCAGCCGGCTTACGATAAAACATGTATTGTTCGTTTTTGTACATATGTATAAAGACAGCTTAATTTCGATAAAACATGTATTGTTCGTTTTTGTACAAATGATAACTGACGATATGTTTGCGCAATGAAAAAGACACAAAAATGCCACCGTTTTTAATTCAATTCTCATAAGAAGAGATAAATTTAATAAAAATGCAAGCATTCAATTGTGTTTTCTGTATTGTAATACTGGCTTTATTTAGTAGCTATACACTGCATCGATACTGAGAATCTTTTAACAAGTTTATAAGATGTTATAAGTAACGGATAAAAACGTCTTGCAAAGATTCCTGAAAAATTAAATTCCTATTTTAATTACAATTGTCGTTACTGTAAAACATAATAATTCGAAATCAATTCTGCAAACAATATTGCTGATAAACCATGAGGTATGTTCAAACCACGCGTCATTAATGGTGCTTTTTCAATTTAGTTCCAGTTTTGCCACAGATTTTCCATCATTACCCCAAACATTATCACCGCAATTTATTGAGGTACACCACTTGTATGATCATCTGTTCAGGTTTGACCCACGAATCTGCAATTTTTGATGGTCGCCGGTGCTTCTGAAACCAGCGTTAATTTCTTCTCTTGTACTTATCATATAGAGCGTGAGAAACTTGCTGTTGCTGAGTAACAAAAATCGTAGGAAAAATTTGACCTTGTTGACGAATTGGTTTCAACCTTCTATACCGGATTAAAGCTTTAATTTGAAGAATTTTAATTATAAATTGCGAATGGTACATTTTTGCGACATAAGACAGTAATAATATACGTTTAAAAATTACTTTTAAAGACAACACTTCTAAAGAATCCAGTGTCTCCAATGTTAAAGATGTGCAATGAATTTTTAATTTCATTTTCGAATATTAAAAAAATTAATTTTTAAATTTTTTTCTAACCCTATATAGATATAGGGTTAGAAAATTATTTATTCTGTCAATTGATTCATGCATTGCCTCCAACTTCACACAAGTGTGCAAAATTTATATCAATTGGACAGGCAAAAGTGTGGCAAATATCAATTATAAGATTTGTAGCTGAAAAAATTATTTTTTCACTTTTTTAATATTGAAATAATTGTATGCTTAAAATTATTTATTTTGTCATTTGATTCATGCATTGTCTCCAACGTTACGCAAGTGTGCAAAATTTCAGATCGATAGGATAAGTAATAGTGTATTAAATTTCGTTACAAGATTTGTAGCAGACAGACAAACAAGAAGTGAAGTTAAAGAGAAGTGTTGAACTGGCATCTCTGTGTTCTCTGTTTTACTTGATTTTTCTTGATATTGTGATGCACTTTTTCAAACGGTAAATGGGCTGCATGGTAGCTAGCTATTACTATAGAAGCAAATTTACCTATTAAATTGCATGCCCTCTTCGCTGTACCTTTATATTTGTTGAGTAAGTGTTTGTTCTTCATATATTACCACTGTAATAATCGTAGGTGATGCAAATTGAGAAAAATTAGAACAGATAATTAGTTCACTGATTAATTCTTCTTGAGTGTGATTTCATTCCAAGAAAATAACAAATGCAGCACGACGGTGCATGTAAGACAACAAACTGTCATTACACATTCATATTGTCATGCCCGTAATTGATTTAACGCTCTCGCTCGATAGCTACACTCCTGTTCGGAGAGAATTACTGCTATGTTGTGACAAGGTTGACACGCATGTGCTCTATGTAAAGGGAACGCGCGGCTGTTCTTGGTCAGTTTAGTGGGCAGGTCTGGAGATTGCCTGCTGTGAAGCTCCCACTCGCGTCACCACAGTTATGCCAACAATGCCCAGTGTACGTAGCCACGCTCTCTCTGTTTCTGCAGCCAGACAAACTATACGGAATACACTTCGATCATCAGTGGCTGCGGTGACAGTTT